ATGTCTAATAGAATGAGAAAATAATGTTTTGCTTCGTGGCTTGGAATGTGCATTGCCTGTGGAGTGGACAGTAATAGGAAAGCTAAGTGTGCACAGCATTTCTTGCTTATGTATTACTACTTTCTTCTTGGAGTAATGGTGATGGCTCGGAGTGACTTTTGTGTTTGTAAGGCACTTGAGATTGCTAACTCAAAGGATAAAGAAGGTGATGCTTTGCTGAGCATTGAGCTTATTTTAACTAACAATTCACAACCTACTAATATAAGTGCACGTCTGAATAGGAAATGTACTAGCTCTATCTTCTGTATAATCTATTATATGACTATAGTAACTGTAATTTGCTTTAGTGCTAATTTTGAGTAGGACTGCAGAGTGTGAACGGATCTGTGTTCTTGTACCATGAGTCTGCCTTATACAGGACTGTCACACAGTGTGGATCAATATCATACAAGTTTGTTAGAGGTCTTACATATTTAAAAATATTAATAATACTTGTAATTTAACAAGAAGGATTACCTCACATCCAAAATCTGTCTTCTGGTAAAAATTAGGTTCGAAAGAAATGCTTAAGAAAACATTTAATATCCTACCTGAGCTTATAGTGTTACACAGTGATCAAGTATTCAACGATTTCAATTATAATTTCTATTCTGCATCACAGTGCTTCACTTAGAATAATTTTCTTTGATGTAGTATAGTATCTAATTGAGTTAAATGTCAGTGCAAATTTTAGTGTTTTGTTTTCTTTTTAAAGGCAGCCATAGTACTTTCCTGTGAATTCTCAGTTTAAAATAAGGGATTGTTGACAGTGTGGCTTGCTCATTGCATCAGCTGATAAAGGGATAGCTGATATGTCAGGTAAATAACTCCACAGTCCCTCTGCCTTAAAAAGTATGCAATCTTGATCTTGATAGAGCAGCGGTGCAAGGCGTAAAGGTCTTGGGAGTGGTCTGTAGACTTTTAGACTTGTAGAAAATATTTAAACTGTGAGAACTAAGTGTGGGATGAAGGGTACGTGGAGGCAGGGGGCTGTGATAGCTTCTGCCAGGTTTGATCCAGTTTGAGTACTTTGTGTAAATAAGCCTTTGTTACTGCTGGCTGAGCATCCATGAGCAGAGGCCAGGAAAAGTCCTAAAGCCTTTCAAAATAACCACTGTCATGGGAAATTCTGCTGTAGAACTTTTCCTTTATTATGTGTAATGTCTCTCAGTTTTGTACTCTGTTATTTCTGCCTTCAGTTTGTGCATCTCAGAAATGGTTGCCATACTTTTTGCTTACTGAAAAATGACTTTACTGAGTGATAGTGGGGAGAGATTATGGCATGGCAAAAAGTTGAAATTCATGTTGGCAGTAGTGATATCAAGTATAAGTTCCTGTTCTTTATTTACTTTTATTATCTGAAAAAAAAAGTTTACCTGGTGCAATATTTATTTCTTGTTCAATATTAGATGTTTCTGCAAAAGAAAAATATGGCAAGAATTGTGGAATGTGTGCAATAATTGCTGTACCTGCTTTTCCTATTATATTTTTTTCAATTGTTAAAGCTGCAAATTGAACAATAAAGAGGTTCCTTTATTACGCATCACCCTTTTATCCTTGCTGAAGAGCATCATTTTGCTGCATGAGGTTGCTGTCATGGTGTTCAGTCATTCAGAGTGGTGGTGTATTCTTGTCATTCTTGCCTATACTGTTGTGCTTAATAGTGATTTAGCAGTCATTCAGCCATGTTAAATTAGCCCTTCATATTGGATGTGTTTATTTTTTGATAACCATTCTTTTTGACATTTCCATGAAGTAGGCAATTTTATTTTGAAAGAAATCAATTAGGTTGTTAATTTCTAAAAGAAATACAATATAATTGAAAAAAGTGTGAGTTGGTAGAAATGTGAAAGTAAACCATTATTGCTGTGCATCAAATCTTTAATTAAGATACTAAAATGTTACATTTTTGTCCAGAAACGATTACTGTAACTTACCTCTTTCTGAGTTTGCATGTAATCCTTTTAATGAGGAAGGAATAATACATCCTGCAAGGTGCAGCAGTTACTGAGCTTGGCTGCCACTGCTCTGGTTAAATATGTATGTGCTTTCTGAAAGGGAGACCTCCTTTTATCTTTAAATACACATCTAAACATAGTATATATGGCACCTTTAACCACATTGCATAAAGTACAGTGTCTGCTTTCTTTATCTGTAGCAAAAGGTAGGGTTTTACTCTGCACAGCAAGAGCTTCTACAGCAGTTCAGGATCTTTGCGTGTCCATTGCTTGGGAGAGTCATCGTAACTGTTCTCCTGTTAATACTTCAGTGTTTCAGGGTAGAGGTACTAAGGTAAGCTGATGAGTTGATTACACCATATGTAGTGAAAGGCTGAGGAGACCTCTCTAGTGCTGAAAGAGCAATGCATAGGTTTGACTTCAACAGACCAAGGTAGTGTAACGGAAGGAAAGTCTGTATGTTCCTGGTGAGTTATGGTCACTTGCTTCTCTCAGGCAAATCTACTAAAAGATGATTATATTCTGCACCAAACATTTCTGAGTGTCCCTCAAGGTTTTAACCCCTGGGGAGTCTGAATTATGTGGTGGATGAAGATCACAAATCCATAACTCTCAGCAGAATCCACACAATCAGTGAGCAGGGGAGTCAGAAATAACATGGATTATGATAGGATTTCTGAGCAAATTGTTTTCCTTGCTGCCCTTCTTCAAGTTTCTCCCAGCACTCACATGCAATCCACTTAAAATATTTTCTGACTCCAGCCATAATTCAGCTTCAAATGACTTAACATCCCTCAGAATACCGTCTACTGTGATTCTAAATCATGGACTATTGTCACAAAACTCTTGAGATCTGTGTCATATAAAGATACTCTGGGGTAGTCTAGAGTTTTTTACAAGTAACATGATTATTCCAGAGTTTTACCTTCATTTATGTGTACAAGGCCCTGGATCCTGTGCACAAAATACACAAGAAAATTTCAGGTCCTGAAGGAGCTGGCAAATGAAGTTGCTCAGCCACTGTCCATCATATTTGAAAAATCATGGCAGTCAGGTGAAGTTCCTGACGACTGGAAAAAGGGAAATATAACCCCCATTTTCAAGAAGGGGAAAATGGATGACCCAGGGAATTACAGACCAGTCAGTCTCACCTCTGTGCCTGGCAAAATCTTGGAGTAGATTCTCCTGGAAGGAATGCTAAGGCACATGAAAAACAACAAGGTGCTTGGTGACAGCCAGCATGGCTTTACTAAGGGGAAATCCTGTCTGACCAATTTGATGGCCTTCTATAATGGGGCTACAGAACTGATGGACAGGGGTAGAGCAGTTGATGTCAACTACCTGAACTTGTGCAAAGCATTAAACACTGTCCTGCATGACATCCTTGTCTCTAAACTGGAGAGACATCAATTTGGTGGATGGACCACTCAGTGGATAAAGAATTGGCAAAATGGCTTCATGCAGAGAGTTGCAGTCAAAGGCTTGATGTCCAGCTGGAGACCAGTAATGAGTGGTGTCCTTAAGGGGTCAGCGTTGGGACTGATCCAGTTCAACATCTTTGTCAGTGACATGGACACTGGGATTGAGTGCACCCTCAGCAAGTTTGCCAATAACACCAAGCTGTGAGATTCAGTTGATACGCTTGAGGGAAGGGATGTCACCCAGAAGGACCTTGACATGCTTGAGGGATGGACAATGCCAACTTTAACAAAAGTGTATTTTTTTCCTTCAAAAAAAAAAATTACTGTATTTTCCTATGCTGTGAGATGCAGCAGATGTACAAGTTGATTTCTTATACATAAATAAATAAAAATTCATCATAAATATGTCTGAGAGGATAAAAAATTAATTGAAAGGAGCTGTTATTAGAAAGGGATAACAATGAAGGTGACTTTGCTATCTTGGTCACTACACCTGAGATAATCCCTTTCAGCGTTGCATAGGATCTCAGTGCAATTCCAAGCAAATAGGCCTTGAACATACACATACTGAAATCACTAAATAGGTTTCTATATTTAAGTTGGAACAATATTGCTTCTAATTAAAAACTATTTTACTAGAGCACTTAGTGCTCAGAAAGTCAGGTTAATGTAACTTGAGCTGAGCTGCTAGTTGAAGGAGAGCAAAATTTTCTTTATTCTAGCTTTGTAACTATTACTGTGGATACAAAAGCTCCTCATGCTAAATTGTTTGCCAATTTGTGATCATGTATTAAGTGTTTGGGGTTACCGCTTCTTGTTTTTAAGATGAAAGCTGGAGCACTTTGGATGCTAAAGATAAGTGAAGTCTCAGTTACCTTCAGGGATATATTCCAATTTCTTTATGAATCATGGCATTGACACCATCTGGGTATAAGCCAGCTGTATAAAAGAAGTCCCTAAAGACTGCGATGCTGCAAAAATACAGTTTTTCTTCTTTTTTTTTTCTGAGGGGGGTGATGTGATTTGTCTGCAGACTGCCCATGCAGCACATTCATAGTATGGCAGGCACAAAGCAATCCAGCCTGGGTTCCCACAGCATGCTTAGCTGCTGTTAATAAACCTCATACAGAGCAAAGGCAGCATTTCTGTGGCTGCATCCATGAGGCTGTGGGAGGAGATGCCGGCTGCCTACCAGCCAGCCTGGGTCTAGCAGCATACCTGGAGAACAGCCCTCTCTCTGACCCTGGAGTACCTGGCAGACACAGCAGGCAGTGCAGAAGCAGCTCTGCACAAACTGGAGCTGGTGCCGCCACGCTGATGTCTCTGGCTTGATGCTGGTCATGCCAGATGCAGGTCATCTGGGTATCACCACTGCATGATCCTGCTGTGTGTGTTCTCCACTTCCTGTGTGTAATGGAAAATGAGACCCGCTGCTTCATTCCTTTGACGTCACTAAAAAATGCAGGGATGCTTTGTTGTGCTGAGAGGACTTGCAGTGTACACTTAATAATGGTATTATCTAAAGTAATGTAGTAGGAGCAACAACGCATTTTCCAACACTTTGTTTCTTCTTAACTTCCAGGTTTTCCGAAAAAAGGCAGTGGAGCTTGGAGAGAAATTGCTACCTGCTTTCAACACTCCCACCGGCATACCTTGGGCATTGCTTAATATCAAGAGGTAAAACAACTGGTCTTTGGTGACTAAAGCATAGAAAAATGTTATGCTGAAACCATCTTCATCACAGAACTATTACAATTGCTACACAGTTTTTGTCTCCCCAGTTACATAAAAGTTGATATAATATCCTTAGTTCTATAGTTTAAATTGGGAAGTTTAAGTAGATATATGTTGTATGCACAGGAATGCATATAGAAGTACATTTGTTCATGTACTGGCTGTTTTTTTGTCAGTTAGTATGTTGCCTATCACTTTTACTGAAGTTCTTCATTGCTTTTAGTGTTGCTATAGGTAGGGTAATAGCAAAAGGGCATGTGGTGCTCTGAAGGGATAAGGTTTTCAGCCACTTTGTACTGTTCTCACACGTAGTATCAGTCTATCCTTCTTATCAAGAAGCAGGAGTAACACCTGCTACAAGTGACTTGCTGTTACGTACTTTCTCCCAAAGAGTGGTTGCTTTGATCATTTGTGATCTGAAGGCAGCTATGTGTTTGCTGCAGAAAATGCATGCACTCCTGAAGTCTCTCTGACCTCCAGTATCTGACTCCAGACAGGTGTTAGCATCAGCACGGTCCATTTCAGGGCTGCTGGTATTGATACTGTGTTGGTAAAGAAAATGTTTTCATTGCACTGCTTGAGTAATAATATTGAAAGTTACACCTGTGAGGGATATTTGTGTACTCGTATGGACGCATAGCTTTCTCCATACTGCAAATAAACCCCAGCAACACCTGTCACAAGAAAGTGAACCAAGAATTTCACACATCCCTGTGTTGGTGTTGTGGTTTTTTTGTGTGATTCCCTCCTTGGTAGTCAGCATCTTCCACTGTTCTCTGTTTGATCTGTATTTAAGGATACGTTTTTCCCCATATAAGGATGTACATTAGCATACTCTCTTGGTTGGCTTCAAGTTTCACAATAAACTGCTCAGAGCCCCTACAGAAACCTCTGGTGTGTCAGTTCAGACAGGCTTGTCTTTCACCTTTCTTTCAAAGTGAGGTGGGAGGCAAAAAGCATGTCTATGTAAGAGCAGGAGGGAGTTAGCACTTTCTGAACTTGCTTGTCGTTGAAAGGGCTGATTAACTGCTGCCCAGTGGTGATCCTCAGACTTGGAGTTGTTACTTGCATGCATGCTAATTATTTTTTCTCAACAGATTTTAATGAATTCTCTACAAGTTCACTAGCACAACAGCGTGAGTTTTGTGGTTTTGAAATTTTTCTAAGCTGTTACAAAAAGAAGTCTACCTTACATCTGTAAATGCAGTACCTTATTCTACATAGTGTATGTAAACACAAATTTGTCTTATATGTAAGCCTTATCTAAATCCCTGCTTATCCACGAAATACATCAATGTGATTTGCAAATAGTTCAGTTCTGTAATAGGTGTTCATGGTTTTGATCCTAGCTCCTCACAACAACTGCTGTGGTGCACTACAAATGTCAGCCACAAACACTACAAGGTGGTAATGCAAAAGAGATTCATTTCTTATCGGGCACAAAAGTGGAAGAGGATCTCTGCCAAGATAACTTCCTTTGCTGCAGCAGAAAAAGTTACATTAAATGCTAAGTTATTGGTTTTTCATTCTGAATCCTTGCACATCTGTCTAGATTTGACCTTCAGTAGATGACTCTTCCATAATACTGTGTGTAAACTAATATGCTGTCATCCAAGCTTAGGAAATGCTAAGCCACTGAAACCTGCATATATTACAGATCTAATATGTCTCATTTCTGATTAGTACTTTATTTGATTTTATTTTGATTTGTGCTTCAAATTGGAGAACACTCACAAAAGATTGTGGGTGTCAGTGGTTATTTTTAAATTACTATTTTGGGATTGACAGATGAGCTGGGTATTTGTTTCATTATGCAAATGTTCTTCACAAAATTGTTTGTTTTCTCTGTCCTGTATCATCATAGCCAGACTTGCTCTCTCCTTGCATGCCACTGTGTGTAAACACATATGTGTTTTTTTGTCTGAGTGTGTCCTTATGTACCAAAGGCATCCAGCTGAAGTCTTATACTCTTCTCCATTGCTTTTCTTCATCCTGCTTCCTTCCTCATGACTTAATGACCATGGGACACTCACCATCTTACCTATCATGTGTACCATAGAATCATAGAATAGTTAGGGTTGGAAAGGACCTTAAGATCATCAAGTTCCAACCCCCTTGCCATGGGCAGGGACACCTCGCTCTAAACCATATCACCCAAGGCCCCGTCCAACCTGGCCTTGAACACTGCCAGGGATGGAGCATTCACAACTTCCTTGGGCAGCCCATTCCAGTGCCTCACCACCCTAACAGGAAAGAATTTCCTCCTTATATCCAATCTAAACTTCCCCTGTTTAAGTTTTAACCCGTTACCCCTTGTCCTATCACTACAGTCCCTAATGAAGAGTCCCCCCCCAGCATCCCTATAGGCCCCCTTCAGATACTGGAAGGCTGCTATGAGGTCTCCACACAGCCTTCTCTTCTCCAGGCTGAACAGCCCCAGCTTTCTCAGCCTATCTTCATATGGGAGGTGCTCCAGTCCCCTGATCATCCTTGTGGCCCTCCTCTGGATTTGTTCCAACAGATCCATGTCCTTTTTATGTTGAGGACACCAGAACTGTACACAATACTCCAAGTGAGGTCTCACGAGAGCAGAATAAAGGGGCAGGATCACCTCCTTGGACCTGCTGGTCACGCTTCTTTTGATGCAGCCCAGGATACAGTTGGCTTTCTGGGCTGCAAGCGCACACTGCCGGCTCTATTATCAAGTATATTTAAGAGTCTCTGTACTATTCTTCAGCTAAAATTATTTGCAAATTATTGAGTGTGTGTTTGTAAAATTGCCTTTTGTGTCTGAAGTGCATTTAAGTAGAATGGTAGTTTGTACTAGGATTTCCTTTTCTTTCAAAATGTTTCACTGCATTTCCACATTTCTGATGTTCTCATTATTGCTCCGTATCTTAGCTCATCATCACCATTTGTTTTTCACTTCTTCTTATACCACCAGATTTGAAATTCCTTTTACAGCTCACTTGCTTATTTGAGTACCCAGTATCGTATAACACTTGTGGACTGTACTGACTGAAACCACTGGTATAAAGAGAGGCTGCAGAAGGAGATATGTGTAAAGTGATGGTGGCTTAATAGACATATTTGTACATTCCACCTGTGTGAGGTGTGAGCAGGTAGAAGATCTGCTTAGCTTGGTGGCTAAACTTAAAGAGGAGGTTGAGATGCTGAGGAGCATCAGGGAGTGTGAAAGGGAGATCGACTGGTGGAGTAACTCCCTGGCTGACCGGTTGGAACGGCTCCAGGGAGATACCCCCCAAAAGGGGATGAACCCCCTTCCCTCTCAGACAGAGGGGGATGGCCTGAGACAGCCCCTGTCATGTAGCTGTCGCCCAGAGGTAGAGGACCAAAAAGATGATGAGGGTTGGAAGCGAGTTCTGGTTAGGCATCGTGGGCAGCCCTCCTCCCTTCCTGCCCCGCTTCCCCAGGTGTCCCTCTGTAATAGGTTTGAGGCTCTGGATCTGGAAGGAGAGGTAGGAGAGGATGTGGTGCAAGGCCCGCCTACAAGGCCACATAGGAAAAAGCGGTCGACTTCACACCTCAAGACTGCCTCTGGTAAGAAAGAAAGAAGGCTCATTGTAGTAGGTGATTCCATTCTGAAAGGAACAGAGGGCCCGATATGCAGAGTTGACCCTCATCATAGGGAAGTGTGTAGTCTGCCTGGAGCCTGGATCAGGGATATCACCAGGGCGCTCCCCAGCCTGGTGCACCCGACAGACTACTACCCGCTGCTGGTCTTCCAGACAGGTGAGGGGGAAGCTGCTTACCGCAGTCTGAGGGAGATAAAGAAAGACTACAGGGCCTTGGGGCGGATGGTGAAAGACTCTGGGGCTCAGGTGATCTTCTCTTCACTCCTTCCATCTTCTGTTGATGATGTGGGACTGAATGGGAAAATGCAGTCCATAAACGATTGGCTTCGAGGCTGGTGCTGCAGGCAGGGCTTTGGATTCTTTGATAACGGCTGGTTTTATAGGGCACCGGCCTGGACGTTGGCATGTGGGAAAGGTTTATCGCACAGAGGTAAAAGGATGCTGGGGCACGAATTAGCAGGGCTCATTTGGAGAGCTTTAAACTAGATTCGAAGGGGGATGGGGTTGTAGCTGGGCTTGCCTCAGTGGGACAGCGCTCCGGAATTGATGAAGACTGGGAGGCCTCCTGTAATCCTAGGGTGAAATCGGTGTGCTCGGCTCGCTCCCTGAAATGTCTCTACACCAATGCGCGCAGCATGGGAAATAAGCAGGAGGAGCTAGAAACCTGTGTTAAGTCGGGAGATTATGATCTGGTGGCAATTACAGAGACGTGGTGGGACAGCTCACATGACTGGAATATAGTCATGGAGGGCTATGTCCTTTTCAGGAAAGACAGGCCAGCCAGGCGGGGTGGTGGGGTTGCTCTTTATGTGCAAGAGCAGCTACAATGCGTTGAGTTCTGTCCGGGGACAGATGATGAGCGAGTTGAGAGTCTGTGGGTGAGAATTAAGGGACAGGCTGGCAGGGGCGATACTGTTGTGGGGGTCTGTTACAGGCCACTGTATCAGGGTGAGGAAGTTGACGAGGCCTTCTACAGGCAGCTGAGAGCGGCCTCACAGTCACAGGCCATGGTCGTCATGGGGGATTTTAACTTCCCTGATGTTTGCTGGAAGGACTACTCGGCAACCCAGCCGCAGTCCAGGAGGTTCCTCCAGTGTATAGATGATAACTTCCTCATGCACATGGTGGATGAGCCAACCAGGAGAGGTGCGCTGCTGGATCTCATCCTCACTAACAAGGAGGGTCTGGTTGAAGGAGTGAAGGTTGGGGGCTGCCTTGGTTGCAGTGACCACGAGATGGTAGAATTCAGGATCTTGTGTGGTAGGGTCAGTAGAACAGCAAGTAGAATCGCAACCCTGGACTTTAGCAGGGCAAACTTTGGCCTCTTCAAGCGATTGCTAGGGGAAA